GAGGCACCGAAATCTGCGTTCGGATTCGGTTCTAGTACATACCGGTTACATAGGTACCTGTACCATATTGGTACCGGGTTTCGGTACCCAACCCTAGTCATTACACACTAACATTTTCACAAACAAGCCAGGAACAAAAGCTGACTCAATGTGCACGCCAAGGTTATTTTCGTAAACGAAAACTAAAACTAAGACTAAATCGATTGATGAAAAAACTATTTCGTAAACTGGAATAAAATAAAAACGTCAAAATACTTGGTGCACACCAGCAATATGGTGGTAAATACCGGCTCTCAGAAAACCAACCAGCCACGTTCAAAAGAGAATTCTAATGGGTGAATTTAATGCATGGTTTTTCAGCACAAAAAGTGCGTCGCTATAGCACTACACTATGAGTATTTAAATTCTCATGCGCTTCAAAGACACCTCAGTTCTATGCAAATTAAGCTTAATGTACAATACCCCTTTTAGAGAGAGATTTAGAGAGACTAAATGTCAAGGGTTTTCAAACTTTTTGATGCCAAGAATCCCAAAATATGATGACTACCAATCACCTTGCACTGTGTGAAAAAGGTCAAATTTGATTATGTTTATTATAACATTAGTTATTATTATTATTAAAATTATTATTCATTTATTAGTGTAGTGTAATAATGATAATAATATATTCATTTTTATTGTTATTGTAATAATGATAATACTAATAATTTATTATTATTTAAAAATAATAATAATTGCATTTTAATAATGAATTACCTTTAAATAATAATAATAATAATAATAATAATAAATATTACTATAATTTTAAAATTATTTTTCTCTAAATGTGCGGTTTGGAAAACCGTAAGTCATGGAAGCAGTTATACATCAAATAATAATCAAATAAAAACATGAAAATAAACATCGCTATTAGTGGGTGCAATTAATTCTTAATAAATCCCCCCCCCCAAAATCCAAATATTTCGATCTTAAAAAGCAGGTCTCACCAGAGTCCGAGCTGTACATGTCGACGAACCTAGACCACTTGTAGTGCTCGATTACGCCCACCAGGGCGTCCTGCAGTTCGGGTCTCAGCTGGATGACAAACTGGTTGGAGTTTTCCATGGGGAAGCTGGGCGTCACAAAGCAGACGTGTAGCGCACCGCAGAACGACATCAACATGTTGACAGTCTTCCTGTCGTACACGCCGATGATGGCGTACACTCCTTTGGAGAACTGCGAACAGACTGGAGACGACAACAGAACACGATTTACAACACAGACATCATTCACGTCGCATTGTTAGCATCACGCTGGCTTTATTATTCACTTCCGAGAAGCAATTAGTAAACGTTTCTATATGCATCACTGGACTGGAAATGGTGCGGATGAAGTTTCTGAAGGGCCAGATAATCAATGCGCACAAAGGGTCTCGCTGACATTTACCAAACAGCAGGGCGCTTTTCTATCTCTGCTGCCTTGAACGTTGAATATCTTTTCCTCTCCCTGTTGGTGGCAAAATGGCCTCAATCTGTTTTTGAACCAGGTTTCCCTGTGTATTTTAATGCTGTATCATACTCTGCTGTTGCTATCTTTGCCCTGGCCGAGGTTATTTTTCACTGCGGCTCCGGGCCTCACGTTTCAGTCCCGCAACTAAACAGATTGAAGTTGCAGTCTGTTCGTTGCCCAAGGCCCAAATCCCAGCAGGGGCCGCCTGAGGGGCACAGGGGGAGCAGGAGCGATAGGCATGGCCATCACCCAAACTGCCTGCCCCACAATGCAACAGCCCATAAGCAGTGCAGGGTGCCAGCTCCTCTAGCATGTGTGTTTGTGTGTGTGTGTGTGTCTGTGACCACTGGCCTTCATCACATACACTATGACTCATTTCAACATCCGGCTGAAACATAAACACTTCATCTGTCAGATATATAGATACTGTCTCAATCTGAAGTCACATACCATGAAATAAACAAGCAAATTAGATCTTATAAAGAGAAGGTGATATTTAACACAGGCACACTAATTTAAACTGTTCTCTCTGCACTGTATATAAAAGTCACACACTTGGTGCTAAGCAATAATGAGTGTGACACGTCTATAACAGACGCTGCCGTGAGCTCCGAGGTAATATTGGGGGTGTTCTTATCACACGGCTCTGCTTCCTCTGTGACTGATGACTTGCACATTAATTCTGTCTGGGCTGAGCTTTGTGGACCCGGAGAGACAGAGAGAGAGAGAGAAAGTGAAAAGGGAAAGGAAGGGGGGGGACTGCATCCCTCTGTGTTAGCTATTACCGAAGACATATGGCACATTGAATCGAGATCCTCACCATACCATATGTGCTTGTCTTGAATGGTTTCACATACTTTACTATATTTCTTTTTTGTCAATTCATACAATGTTAATATACAGTGCTCATTCATCTACAACATATTGTTGAACTGGCTTCCTGGCAACAGGCATCAGCAGAACATATTCATTACCTTTATTTGATATCACTTGGCATATGACTTCATTCTAAATGACAACATTAATTGCAGCGATATATTGGCTGACTGAACAGAGTTTTAGTGCCTTGCTCATGGGGTTTTAAACTTGCAATGCTATCTGAGACAGTCACACTGATGTACTTGAGAGTTATGCGAGTGTGAGTCACACTCCTTTACTGATTCTTTCCCTCTTCTTCTACACATCATTTCCTGTTTTTTTTCTATTTTCCTTTCAATACAAAGTGACAAAAAGGCAAAAAAGTCGTACGATTTTGTAATGTTCTTATGCTCACCAAGGCTGCATTTATTTGATCAAAAATACAGTGAAAACAGTAATATTATGATATATTATTACAGTTTAAAATAACTGTTTTCTAGTTGAATTCATTTTCAAGTGCAATTTATTCCTGTAATGGACTTTAATTACTCCAGTCTTCAGTGTCACATGATCCTTCAGAAATCATTCTAATATGCTGATTTGGTTTCTTTTTATTATCAATGTTGAAAATAGTTATGCTGCTTAATATTTCTGTGGAAAAATTGAAACATTTTGATGAACTGTGATACATCGCGATTATGAATGATTTATAAGCTGCATTTAAATGAAAAATAATATTTTTTAAATAACAGTCTGTCACTTTTGATCAATTGCATCCTTGCTCAAAATTATTAATAAAATTAATTTGAAAAAATATTAAAAATGACTGCTAACTTTTGAACGGTAGTGTATACAAATTAAATCTGTGTCAATTTCCTTAATGGGCCATTTTTGGCCATGTGAACTGTTAGAAAATAAACTCTCTTAAAACACTTTTCAGACTCTCACTAGTTTAGGTAATTTGTCAGTTTGTTTATTTAATCTCAAGCTCTTCACTAACTTTAGATAAAACTTTATTAGAGGAAAAACTATTAAGGACAACTGTAATTTGTCATTTCAAAAGTAGTAAAATAAATGTCCTGGTAAAAGGTTTCCAAATTAGAATAGTAACATAACAAACACATTTGGTTTTTAATCAGAAACACATTTACAAAAATTTCAATGGAATCCATTTGCCACACGGCCGCTGCCACTTCCCACATGTGTGATAATGTGGAAGCTGATTGGAAGCGTGCGGCTCTCTCTCACTCACATCTGCTTCCCTGTTCTGAAAAGTTCCTCCTGACAGGAAGCACATGGCCGTGTCATCCGACCCTCTAATGACAGTAGTGCCTCGCTCATGGGGTTTTAAACTTGCAATGCTATCTGAGATAGTCACACTGATGTTAAGTGTTGAGAGTGATGTGAGTGTGAGTCACACTCCTTTACTGATTCTTTCCCTCTTCTTCTACACATCATTTCCTGTTTTTTTTCTATTTTCCTTTCAATACAAAGTGACAAAAAGGCAAAAAAGTCGTACGATTTTGTAATGTTCTTATGCTCACCAAGGCTGCATTTATTTGATCAAAAATACAGTG